GATAGTCAGCAGCTCCACTGCATACTTAGCAGGCAGACGCTCACCAGGAGCCAGCTCAGATTTCCGTGGCTTGACATACTGAATGGTTGATGTAAATACACAACATGACATTAAAATTATTCATGCCACCTCCCACCTCGTACTTCTGTATCTGCCTCTGAGAACATTAACATTCCTGAAATGGCCTCGACTCTTCTTACATCTCCTCCCGTGAACATACCTTGTTTGTGTTTTTTTGTCTTTGCTCTCAGCAGAGTGGATCTATTTTCTCCTTTTCACACCTTCCCTTATAAATGTTTTTATCCCTGTCAGTCAATCTCTACTTCACCACCATTAGCCACCCTTTGCCTTTTGCTTTGGGCACCTTCACTATCTGTTCCACTCGATCCTCCACCCCATCTGTCAACAGCATAAAAACCACCATTTTCCAATTCTTTCTGAAAACAAGTCAGATTGGAATCAAAATGTTAACCCTGTTTTTCTCTCTCCTCAGGTGCTGCCAGACCTACAGGGGTTCTCCAGCACCCTTTAATTTTTATTTCAACTTTCCTGACAGGCCTGACTGTGCTAGCCCTAGACACATGCTGGAATCTCGGCATCTAGGATTGGTGCTGGGTCCATTGCCTTTTATCGTTTATAGAAATTATTTGGATGTGAATATATGAAGGCATGGTTATTAAGTTTATAGATGATACCAAAGTAGGTGTTGTGGTGGACAGTGAAGAAGATTATCTCAGAGTACAATGGCACCTTAATCAGAATGGCCAATAGGCCAAGGCATGGCAGATGGAGTTTAATTTAGATAAATGTGAGGTGTTGCATTTTGGTAAGGTAACCCTGATCAAACCTTATACAGTTAAAGGTGGTGTCCTGAGGAGTGTTGCCAAACAGGAGATCTAGATTTGCAGGTGCATAGTTCCTTGAAAGTGGAGTCGCATGTAGACAGGGCAGTGAAGAAGGCATTTGGCACGTTGGCCTTCATTGGTCAGAACATTGAGTCTAGGAGTTGGGATGTCATATTGCAGCTGTACAGGACGTCAGTGCGGCCACCTCTAGAATACTGCATACAATTCTGGTTGCCCTTCTATAGGAAGGATGTTGTTAAATGTGAGAGGATGCAGAAACGATTTACAAGGATGTTGCCGGGACTGGAGGGTTCGAGCTATAGGGAGAGGCTGAGTAGGCTGGGATTTTTTTTTCCCTGGAGTGTCAGAGGCTGAGGGGTGACCTTATAGAGATTTATAAAATCATGACGGCCATGGATAGGGTGAACCTTTTCCTCAGGTCTTTTCCTCAGGGTAGGGGAGTTCAAATCTGGACGGCATAAGTTTAAAGTGAAAAGGGAAAGATTTAAAAAGGACCTGAGAGGTAGCTTTTTCACACAGAGGGTGGTGCATGTATGGAATGAGCTGCCAGAGGAAGTGGAGGCGGGTGCAATTTCAATATTCAAAAGGCATTGGGATGGGTATATGAATAGGAAGGGTTCAGAAGGATATGAGTATAACGTGGGCAAATGGGACTAGATTGGATTGGGACGTCTGGTCGGCGCAGATGAGTTGGACCAAAGGCTCTGCTTCCAGGCTGTATAACCTTATGACTCTGAAATCTACAAATCCTGGCCTTATTCCAACTTTTTCTCCATGTTTTGGGTGAAAAGCCTAATCTCTATTCAATACTTCTCCACAAAGGAAAGGCTGAGGACACAAACTGGGCACGTGAGGGTGAAAAGAAAATCAAGCACTTGGAATTAGGTCTGTTGGACCATTCAGAACTTCAAAATTTTCCGAGATAGTAGGAACTGCAGATGCTGGAGAATCCGAGACAACAAGGTGCAGGGCTGGATGAACACAGCAGGCCAAGCAGCATCATAGGAGCAGAAAGGCTGACGTTTCGGGCCTAGACCCTTCATCAGAAAAGG